TGCATAATTTGGCAACACTGGGATGTCTAGTCTACGAATAACACACTATTTACGATACACTATAAAGCGAATATAAAGCACTCCATTTCATCCAACAAACTGAATTAAATGAAAAAAAAGAGGTGGAATCTTTGTAAATGGGTATATTTTTTTAAATATACCCATTTACAAAGATTCAACCTCTTTTTTTGTGATACGTGGTATATAGCCAGCTGCAGGAATTATTTTCCTTGTGGATTTTGAATTATATGATTTAGTTCGACACCTTCACTTGTCCAAAAAACATGCTGAACTTTTAATTTCTCGATTACAACAATGGAATTTTCCAGTGGAACCAAAGTTACAATATTTAGGAACCGTAATCAGGAGCTATCCTCGTTTTTTACTATGCAGGAATAAATCTGTATGTGTGTTAATCCAAATAGTATTATGGAAAAATTAGAATTTACACATACCCCAGAAGAATGGCGTTTATTTATAGATTTTTCTAAATCAAGTCTAAAAGCAGTTCTGTTCCATAACGGCAACAAAAGACCATCTATTCCTCTTGCGCATGCAGTTACTATGAAACAAACACAAGAAAGTATGTCGCAGATCCTAAATGCAGTAAGCTATGATACATATAAGTGGCAAATATGTGGTGACTTAAAAGTCATCGGATTATTACTAGGTCTTCAGGGAGGATTTACAAAATGTTGCCGGTTTCTTTGTATTTGGGACAGTAGAGCAACACAGAGCCATTACCAAGTTAAAGAATTGTCACCAAGAGATTAGTACATTCTAGGTCAAGCTAACGTAAAGAATATACCTCTCGTTGATCCCAAAAACGTTCTATTACCTCCGTTACATATTAAACTGGGATTGATTAAAAATTTCGTTAAAGCATTAGATAAAGAAGGAGATGCGTTTAAATACCTTACACAAATTTTTCCTAAGCTAAGTGACGGGAAGCTTAAAGAAGGAATATTTATTGGACCACAAATCAGAAAAATACTGAGAGATCAACAGTTTGATGAAAAATTATTAAGTGATGTTGAGTTAGCTGCGTGGTTTCTTTCAAAAGAATTGTTTTTGAGTTTTTGGAAAACAAAAAAGCAGAAAATTACGCATGTCTCTAAAAATACACTTTCTGCACTCCCATTTAAATTTTTTCCCGGAAAATTTGAGTGCGGTCAGCGACGAGCAAGTAAAAAGGTTCCACCAGAATATTCTCACAATGGAGCAACGCCACCAGGGAAGATGGGATGCAGCAATGATGGGAGATTACTGTTCCTCATGGGAGAAACTGATACAGAGTATAAAAGTAAATCAGCGTTTGCAAAGAATTTGTGTACAAAAGACTTACCATGGTTTTTGTTTCTAGTTTTGGACTATATAGTTTATAGTATATAAGAATATTTATAATAAATAACATTATTTGATGCATTCTATAACTCAAAATATATACGTCGTGAGAAATTTTGGTGTTTGAATTCGTAATCAGGATTCTTTAAACCCCCCGGTACAGTTATTTTAACATCAGTCGCAACTTTTTTTTTATTTGTTTACTAGTGTAGTTGTTTATCTCAATAAAACGTGGTTGTAGCTGTGCGATTTTAATTATTATCCATTTTCTCAAAAGTAGTTATTTTAAATTGTTTCCGTTTTGAACTTGGGTAACGATATGTCCATAGAGTAGATTTTGATCTTTGATCTGTTTTTTACCTACTGTCAAAATTTCTAGCAAATCGATGTATACAAAAAAAATCAGAAGGTGTCTACTATTTTTACAGCCATATTCTGTACTAAAACATCTTAGTGTACACCTACATTGGAACCGTATTTCTTCTGATCCGATGTCGGCCGACGTCGCATTGAAAACAAATACATGGTATTAAATTATAGTGCCTATACTGCTTCCATGACGAAGCAGTATAGGCACTCTGATTTAATACCTTGAGTTTGTTTTTAACCCGACGTCGGCCGACGTCGCCAGATATCGGATCGGGAGAAATACGGTTCCAATGTAGGTGTACACTTATTAGAAAAATAGATACAATATATTTTATAAAATAATAACTTAAATGTATATCAATTATGCGTTTTTTATAATCAGCAAAGGCACTTGAAAATTAAGTAAAATGTAAAAAATTTAATCCATATCATACTCCAAATATTTACTTTCAAACTCATCAAACTCACTAAAACCTTCAATAACGTATACTGTTTATAGCCCAGTTTAGTTAAAAAAAAATGTAAAATTTTTCTAAATTATCTGAAGCTTTTAAGACATAGGTGGGGGTTACTAGATGACGAATAAATGAAAAAGTACTTGTATTTTTACCTTGCGTTTTTTTAACAATAATTAATGGTCACAGTTTGATTTTTTTCCCTTATATTTTCCTAACAATATTTATATCATTTTTTATATCAAGAATATCTTTTTTTCCCCGTTTTTTTAAATAAAATTGATAAATAGTTTACGGAGATATTTGCAAAAAAGTAGTTTTTTTACACTAATTTATAAATTTTATTGATTTTTTTTATTAACAAAATAAAATGTTATTAATACATTTGAACATCGAGAAATTACCGTCTTTTAAATTTGTGCGAAATTTTCCCCTGATCAGTAAAATAATTTAAAAGTTATTTAATTTATTTATCTATTAGGCTAAATATTTAAACTATTGAACTTTTGCTCTATTAATGATGCTAGACACATTTAGCAAATTTCATAGGATTCTTTAAGACTTAAACTATCTCAGAAGTTAATTGCATATTGCGTATCCATCGAAATTATTTACAAAATAAACGTTTGAAAAAGGGTTATGTTATAGTTATGTTATATGTTATGTTTATATGTTTATATGTTTATATAAAGGGTTATAAACAATTGTAATAACTTCTATATTTTTTAAGCTACAGATTTCTACGTACAACTATTGAATAGCTGGTAGAAAAACTCTATGGCCAATAGGAACGAAGTTAGGGACTATTTTGACGAAATTTTGGAGTGTGGCAGCTGCTACTTATCCCGCCTTTTTTACGTATACTAAGATATATTACCGGATTTCTATTATATAGATGACCTTTCCCCTATTCACATGAATACATATAAAATGCAGGCATACAAGGATGGTATACTCTGTGATCTTTGGAGATATTTAGATCTAAAAACATAAATAAATGTTGCAAACTCTCTCTTATGACGGGTAGACCCAGAAACACGTGTAAGAGAATGGTAAGAGACTAAGATTAAATCGAAACGCAACCGTTATTTATTTATTATTGTCCTTACTCGACGCAATGAGTACAAAAATGATAGTAATTTATATGGGTAAATTGTTGATGAATAGTGGAATATAATATTCTCAGCATCGATCTGAATGGCTTGATTAATCTTGGGTATACAGTTTACTTTAATTGTTATCGATATTTAACTTCATCTTTCCTCACTAGAGGTCTCCAGTAGCATACTCTGGTAATTATTTTCCTATAATAGGCCTTAGTGGTCGGTGCGTTTTGATATGGTTTAAGTATTCTTGCAAACTCTCTCTGATGACGGGTAGACCCAGAAATACGTGTAAGATAATGGTAAAAGACTCAGATTAAATCGAAACGCAACCGCCATTTATTTATAAATAAATGTGTTTACCGTCCTCGTACTGTACACTATACACATAAAATGTGTAAAAAACTATATGAAATTTAATTTATAAAATATATAAATATTACATCATTGATATAAAATGAAAAAAAAAATGTTGATTTTCCGGGATTTTCCGAGTTTTCCGGGGTGGGGGTGAAAATTATGGCATCAATACTAATACTACAACAAACTATTCCAGACAAATTTAAAAAAAGTAATTTTTTCGAAATTTCGCATATTTCCCGGTCAGTGAAAACTATGTAGTTGTTCATATTTCGACGAGCTACCCCAGATTAAAGAAAAAGGTGTTTCAATTTAGGTTATCCCTCCACTTTCCTATGTCGATCTTTTTAAAGTACCTTTGTTTCGAAGGGCTGTAATTTTCGAAAAATTGGATGATTTTTATAGCTTTAAGTTTCAATATAAAGTTTAGATTTTACTTCTTAATGTTTATAAACAATGGAGATATGCTTTTTCAAAAAATTAGTACCTAACTTCGTTCATATAGGTCATAGAAGGTTTTTTTTAATGTAAGCTTTTTAACCAGTTATTCAATATTTGTACGTACAAGTCTGTAGCTTGAAAAATAAAAAAGTTATTTCAATATTTAGATAAAAACGCAATATACATTTAACTTCTGAGATACTTTAAGTCTTAAAGAATCTTATAAAATTAGCTAAATGTATCTAGCATCATTATTAGAGCAAGTTCAATAGTTTAAATAGTTAGCCACAGAGATAAATAAATTAAATAACTGTTAAACTATTTAACCGATCCGATCGGGGGGAAATTTCGCATAAGTTTAAAAGACATTAATTCCTCGATGTTCAAATATATTAATGACATTTTATTTTGGTAATAAAAAAATTAATAAAATATTTAAATTATTGCAAAAAAAACTGCTTTTTTACTAAAATCTGCGTAAATTATTTATCAATTTTAATTTAAAAACCGGGAAAATAAAAATATTCTTGATATAAAAAATGATATAAATATTGTTTATGTTAAATATAAGAGTAAAAAACTTATAGACAAAAAATCACTTTGAGACCATAAATTATTGTTTAAAAAAAAAACGCAAGGTAAAAATATGAGTACTTTTTCATCTATTCGTCATATAGTAACCTCCACCTACCTCTTAAAAGCTTCAGATATCGGCGAAAAATTTTGCCGTGAAATCGATGATTTTTGCAAAACCAGACTAGGCTATTAGTATTTTTTTGTTATATGTGTTCTTTATTTTGTCATTTTTATGACGGTAAATTATTTTAATAAACATCTAAGTAACAAACAAAATGTAGCTCCAGCTAATTTCCTCGATTTACCTAATTAACATTTTAACAATTTAGTAAACGATGAACAATAATCGTACCTTTGGCAATTTTTTTCTCCATTGTCGCGCCACTATTCTCACTTTATAAACGTCCAGTAAAGTCGGCAGCTCACCACCACGCGCAGAAATATTTTCGCGAAACTAACAATTTTTTCCCGCTGTCGGTGTTTTATTAATCATCTTATGAACTAGTTAATATCGATATGTATCCATCCACTTCTCAAATGATAAATTAACACTCGCGTGTTGATTATCCGTCGCGTTAATACAACAAACTGATGTACTTAATCGGGTCCTTTTTTAAAACAAGCGGGTACTATAGTGGTCGGAAGTGAGTTGATTGAGATTGCTCGAATGGCATGGGTGCAGTGCAAGGAACGCAGCTAGGAGGCTGAGTTTATAGGGGATACTGAATGAAGTCTGCAACAACGCTGTTGCGTTTTGAGTTGTGCGTTTAAATAAGATAAACAAAAAATTCATCGCTCTGTACAATTAATTAAAGATATTTAAATCATTAACGCAAAACAGTCCCTTTTTATAAAAAATATAAAATATTGTACACGGATGAGACAAAATTAATTAAAAACGCACTAACAAGCAGATTAATAAGTATTCGATGACTGCTACCTATAAGATTAATATCGTTTAGTGTTTTTGCTTGTTGTCTTAACTAGTATTCGATAATTATAGTATATCTTATGAGTTATTTAAAATTTTCTATTTCTTATGCTTCATGTACATTTAACTCATCATCTTTATCAACCTGTTTGCGTCCACTACTGGACATATGTCTCCCCTAGCTCTTTTCATCTGTCTCTCTCTTGTGCAACTCTGTTATTGCTAACACGCTTCAGGTCGTCAGTCCATCTAATTGGTAGGGGTCCTTTGCTCCGTATTGCTATTTGTCTTGGTCTTCACTCGACAATACGATTTCGACTCTCACTAAAGGGAGAGCGACCACCAAACTGGCATGGCAAGTGGCAAGTAGCAAGTAGCGCGCGTCTAGCATGTTACTTAAAATGTAACCAATGCAAACGAATTATTCAGCGCACACCAAAATGGCAGTGTCAGTGGGGTCATGCAGCTTACTGCGCCACGTCTTGAAAAATAGAGCTTGTTCTACTTTTTGCCACGTGCTACTTATATATTTGTTGAAAAATATAAATATGGAAGACAGTCCAGAATTTAATATTCGTTTTATCTCATTAATTGAAAAATATCTTGGTATCTATGACAACACAAGTCAGTAATTCAAAGTTATTCATCAATAACTTTTTTGATTAGCCGATCTGTTTAATTCTTTAATGGCTAAAAACATGACATGTTTATATTTTCAAGTCCAATCTTTATTTAGATATTTTAAACACGACCCGACTTAGAGAGTTTTGTCTAGATCAGAGTGATACCTCACAAGTCGGTGTAAAACTAATCCGTTTAATTTAAAATTGAGCCAATATATTTTCTAATAACTTATCTATCTGACATTCTCGTAATGAAAAAGAAGCTGCATAAAAAGCTGTCGTTCTAGGAAGAATGGCGTTAGCTTGTATTTATTTCTAAAACCATAATGTTTATAATAATAAAACTATTTGTTACGATATTTATTAGGAAGGCAACAGATGAGGGCTAAGAACACTATACCTTTTTACTAGAATACCTTATTTTTATTTACCTATTTAGGCATATGTATGCACAAACCTATAAAACACCGTGGCCATTCTGCCAAGGCAGGGCACCAGTAGGGTGATCAAAAAAATCACATGGTCTATTTCTTATTTCTAATGCACCATTTGTTAGCCTGCGATACCTCCCTAGAGGTATTAGATAATTATTAGCTATAATTTGTTCTTTTAGTTGAAATGTCGGATTAATAAAAACTCCATCATGAACAGGTATAAAATTGTGAAATACACAAACAGTTTGAATGATGCTATTAATTGCAACATATTATCGTCTCCAATACTCTGAACATTGAAGGTAGCAAACTAAATTCACACTTAATAAATATTTGCCTTTTAGAAAGCCTGTAATAAAACATTCGTTTGTCATTTGGTAATTATCTTCTGGGATATCGATTCATGGCACGATCTGAGAGAGGAAAATCTTTGTCTACTATAAAAGCAAGGAAAACTTACATTTTCATTTTATCCTGGCTACGGTTTAGGTTCGGAAAGATCAAGTTGGTCGCTAACTACTGCTTTTTATCTGCAATCACTTTTTCGTCCATATTCCCCAATATCAACCGATATCAACGGCCCGTCTGCGTGAGCCACAGCTAACAATACAATAAAAAAATATCCCTTACACTTAAAGTATGCTGACCCAGATTTCGGAAGCCTTTAATCCTGATAAAAAACACTATATCTTTTATCCATTAATAAATTCACAGAAATTAAGCAAATTTTAAATTCTCAGTATCTACTCGCTGTTTTAAGCCATGATTCCCTTGATAAGTGGTCAGATATTCTGGCGGGAGTACTGTCCAAATTTCGCCGGACACATATATTTAATTATTTAAATACAATAATGTCATTTAAATCTTTTTTCAATAAGGGTGTACCCAAAACTGACGTAGTGGACAAATTTTGTTCTATTGTTTATGTTTAAAAGCGTAAGCATAACTTGATCCTCAGAGGACGAAATTATTAATTTTGAAAAAACTAGCCTTATTAATGTCATGCTACTTTGGTGTGCGCTACCTGCCACGTCAGTGCCATGCCCGTGCTATATCACTGCCATGTTACATGTCACGCCAGTTTGGTGGGCATTCTGGCTAAGAGAACTTAAGGAGGAATTACCGTCAATAATACCAAAATGAATAACCTCAGGTGGAGATACCAACTTCATTGCTGCGTTCTAAAGAAAAATCTGCTAAAATAATTTGATTGTTGTGTTAAACCACGTACGTAGTATTTTCGAATCACATACGTAGATTTTTCAGAGAGGAAATCCTTCGCCTTCCTGGTACCCGTTTTCCTCCTACTTTTCCTTGTAGATTTAATTGCAGCAACCCATATCTTTCGCTGTTTCTCATGATGTTACCGAGGTATTTAATTTTGGCTGGTTTTAGTGTGATAAGCAACTCTTTTCCTTTTTTGCATTCTTAATAAAACGTCCTGATTAGTAACACAGGATTAACAAACAATAAACGAAAATAACGATAGTAGATCGACAGAATAAAAAGAATTTAGAATCCAGAAGAAAATTTATAACATCGAAGCTGTTAACACTTTCACTCATCTCGGCTCCTCATTAACAAACCAAAAATAAGAAGAGGAATTTTACTGACCAAGCAAATCATGACAAAGACTAACGTCAACGTACGAATAGTTAAAAGCCTTGTATTCCCTAAGTCCTAAAAGCATCTGAATATATGACAGATATTAAAACAAACAGACAAAAATAAAATAGCTGTCTCTGAGATGCATTGCTGCCGTTGAGTGCGAAGAGTATCTTGGACTAAGAAAAGAATTAATATATCAATCTTCTAACAGAGTCAAATAAATAAAAGACTGCGTACCATAGTAGCTAAACATCTTGCAAAGTTCTTCGGCCACGTTATTAGAAGAAATTGTTTATAAAAACTTACAGTAAGGAGAGCATGTTTAACGGCAAAAGAAGCCGAGAAAAATCGCCAAACAGATATTATTAAGCAACTTACTGGCAAGACTCTACCACAATCAATGAAAATAGCGGAAGATCAAAACAAATGGAACTGAGAATACAAGAGATTTCGTAAAAATCTCGTTGCTTATAAACGAGCTACCGACTAGTAACAAGAAGATACATTTTAAAACAAAAACAGCGAAATCTTTGTAGTAGAGAAGAAAAATGCAGTTGAAGCTATTTTGTGATTTTTATTCAATTTATTATCATAGATTTAATAATTTACAACTATATCATTTTTGACTTTAGTCATATATGTTAAAACCATATAATGATGGGTTGTTTATCAAAAATTACGAAATAACATTAGTACGTTAAAAATTAGTTATTGAATATAAAAAGGTTTGTTTTTCGTAAACTTATTTTTTTAGATGTTAAAAGCGATAAATGGCGCCGATAATAACAAAAGTAAATTCACTTGGTTAAAATTTTCTTTACAAACATGATGCCCCTTGACATTGTTCAATAAATTATAAATTTTAGATAATTTTTTTGGAAAAGGTCATCATTTTGGGTTTGATAAACTTCATTTAAATCGTATAGTCAATAAATAATATAAGTAAACAAAAAAATGACTATGTACAGTAATATTTAGACTGATATACAACTAGTATACGGCATAGCGGTTTTGAGAGAATATCTTTATTTATTGCACTATGTAAATATATAAATGTATGTATACACATATACGTATGTATATGTAAATATATAAATTGAGAGTCATAATTGTATAAAATTTGAGATATACCTATTTTGGGATACGGAGATTCCATATTTGATATTTGTAATGTTGCCAGATTTGCCGTTTCTCTTATATTATTAGTAACTTTGGTTTTTCAAATTCATCACCCTGTATATTCAGTCATTATTGGAATCTCCTATTCAATACGAGTTCAACCATATGTAACACTTATAATTTTATGTAATCTTGAAGGTCTTTAATACATAAAACAGAAGTCTTGCAACGCCTACTTGTCTCAATAAATGTTCTAATACTAACTATTTTCAACTACATTAAAACGTAACAATTGATAGATTATAACATTTTTTAACATAATGGTTACTTTAATAAGTGTTTAAAATGTGCTCCGTTTGTGAGTTGACAGTACCCTAATCGATGGTAGAATGCGTCTACCACATTTCTCCATGATTGTCTAGAAAATATTCGAGATTTATCGATAATTCGTAGATAATTAGCTCCGCAAGAATTGCTGGTTTGGTTTTGTAAACTGAATTTTTCAAAATAAAGCCAATTTTAAAGATAAAGCCAATAAAAATAATCTTTAGGATTGAAATCAGGTGAACGTGGAGGCCATTCAATTCTACCTCGTCTACCAATCTATCGTCCGGCAAATATCTCATCTAAATAACGCCGAACATTTACAAAAAAATAAGCTGGAGCTTCTATCTTGCTGAAACCATATCTGGTTAAAATTGCCTCAAACAAGTTTCTCAATGTAGGTACAATTTCACACGCATCCAGTGTGGATTTACGTCACTCCAGTACACTTCCACGCAGTGTAAAGGTTGCTTAATCGGAAAAACATATTCAGTAAACGAAATTTTCATCATTTTTAATTTTATCCATCATTACCTCAGTAAACTCTAAACTACGATCGAAGTCATCTTCACTTAATTCTTGAAATAAGTTAATTTTGTATGGTTTAAATTTATTCTTACGTAATACACATAATACTGAAGAACGA